TTACACAAGACGTGTATATCCATCAGGTGCCATCTTTTTTGTTATTAATTTTAAATTGTAACACCGAGTAACTGGCCCATTACTTAGTGGTAAAGGTTTAAGAGTTTTAAACATGTTTGAAGTAATATCAATGCATTTTAACTCATTTGAACCACTTAAGCTAAACATTGTGAGAAATATGATTATTAATTGAATCTTCATTTTTTAACAAATTTTAATTTGTAAAGAAATAAAAGAAAGATCAAATTCTCACTTTTTATAATTTTCATTTACAATGCTTTGCCAATCAAAATGCCAAATGTTGACAGATATACATATTCGTGTAACATATTAATCAAAACAATTTTTACTAACAAAAAATTAAACCCTTGCTCATGGTTAAGGTAAAGATGGGTTTAGAATAATGTTGTTAGGCGAAACCATTTTGGGCAAATGGCGAAAGACGAAACCAGGCGAAACTCTGGCGAAACTGGCGAAATCTGGCGAAACCTCGGATAAAGTCAAAACTCAGCGAAGATCAAATCCTCTAAGACTTTGGAAAAGACCAAACCGTGTTGATGAATGAAAATATTTTGCGTAGCTATGAAGTACAGCATGCGGCTTGTATAAAAAATGTATAAAAAAAGCAATAAACAAGGCGATAGCTTTTTGTTTGTATATTCGAGTACTATTAAAAGAAAATTGGACTTCAAACTTTTGATGAAAATCATTTGTGTATGGCTTACTGTTGTTAGGCGAAACTATTTTTGGAAAATGTCGAAAGACGAAACTAAACCCGGCGAAAGAAGAACCTGGAGAAATTTTGGCGAAACGGTGAAATTCTGGTGAAACGGCGAAATCCTGTCGAAACCATTGGTAAAGATGAAACTCTAGAGAAAGTCAAATATCAAATCCTCCAAGACTTCAAAATGTCTGAGTCATATTAGTGAATCAAATATTTTGCGCGTGGCTAATAAGCATAGTATATGATTTATATAAAAAAATGTACAAAAGCAAGTAATGTAATGGCTTTTTGTTTGTATTTAAATAATATTAAAGGAAAATTAGACCTCAGACCTTTGAACTTATAATTAAATCGACTCAGCCATGTAAAAGAAATCTATCTAAATATTTAAATAAATTTTATTATTATATTGTTAAGATTTTTTCTTTTTAACACTTCCTTTAAGTACCATACATATGCAAGTACAGTCAGACCTTTCTAAGTGCACGCCCTTGGGACCAGCGTTGGAAATCATATGTTCACAGTGTTCACAAGAGCATAAATTTTTTAAAAAAATCAAAACTTTTTTATTTTATGTTCACATTTATGAACATAAACAATTTTTATCTAATTAATAAAATTTTATTTATGATCATTATTTTTTTTAATGTGAACATAATAAAAAACAAAGTATGTTCACAGAAATCATCATACTGTCATATGAATTTCCAACACTGCTTGGGACCACAATTTAACAGCATGCACACAATTTAACAACATGCATTTAGAGAACAATAAGAAAAAGTGCACTTATAGAGGTCATGTATATATTTGGGCAAGAATCTGAGCATGCATTTAGAGAACAATAAGAAAAAGTGCACTTATAGAGGTCATGTATATATTTGGGCAAGAATCTGAGCGTGCATTTAGAGAAGGTGTGAACTTAGAGAAGGTGCACTTAGAAAAGTCTGACTGTAGTTCGTTAACATTATTATCACTGACAATTATTTCCGATTCTCTAATTTATCTAGCCCTAAGTCTCAGGGCTAACTTTAAGGAAATAATTGTTATGTCATAGACCCATAATTATAGATCAAATGTAAAATTTAGATCGTTGGTTAAGAAGCATCATATATGACAGCATAATTATATATTTATGTGTCAAATTAAATACTAGGGTTAGATAAGAGCCTATGCTAAAAGTAGTGATAGTATCTATTTCGAAATCCAAAACTGGTCATATGTGGGTAGGTTGCCCAGGTAGTAATTTTCATGAATACAGTTTTTACTTTTGTTGCTTAATGCAATTTCTCAGCTTTTATAATTCCAATATTCTTTTTTCGGACAAAATACATTTGGGTTCTTTTATTTTATCAATATTCACTTTACAGACAGTTTAATTTATCGATAGTTTAACTCACCACTAGTTTATTTTATTGATAGTTATTTTACCAACAAAGTAATTCCGGTTATTGCCGTTAGGTCAGGTTTAGAATTAAACTTAAGGTTAGTATAATTTTTAAAAAACCTGTTGATAAAATAAGTTATTAGTAAAACAAGAGTTAGTAAATTGACATGAATAATACATGATATCAAATATATATATATATATAGTAACAAAAAGATTAATAATTATATAAAAGTGTTTTGACTTTCTTTAATTACTTTCTATTCTTGCCTCTTTTACTAGATTTATCACCTTCTACCGGTTTTGCCACCTTTTATTAGTTTCGCCAGTTTTACCAGTTTCGCCACCTTTCTCCAGTTTTGCCATTTCGCCATTTTAATTTTTTTTTAGCGAAAGTCGAAACTAGGTTTTGCCTTTTGTCTGTGGCAAAACCTCGAAGTTTCACCTAACAACACTACCCTCATTATAACGTAGTGGTCGGGCTGAGAAATTCTGTCCGTTATAATGAATATCCGCTATAGCGTTATATAATATAATAATAAAAATTTTAAATTGTTTCAGAAAATTGCTCCGTTATAACGAGGTATCCACTATAACAGGGTCCGTTATAAACGAGGAAATATACAAAGTAGACAACTATTGCATAGTTATATAATATTTATATGAGTGAAAACCTGAAAAAAGATTTAATGATTTACTATAATTGGTTAATACAATTAGTTATTATTGTGATAATACTGTGTACGTATATTATGATCAAATAATAAAATTATTTTCCATCGTATATTTGATTACAGGCTTTCCGGTGTAGATTATTTAACACTATTTAATTTTTATTAACACTATTTAATTTTTAACACTATTTAATTTTGGGCATTTCTATAAGTGGATGTATGATGCTGTGATACTTTACCATGTACGTATAGTGCACGCACTCTATAAACCTCAGTTTTATCTTATTTAGAAAAATTACTATGAAGATCATGGGTGTGAAGTGGGTGTGAAAATTAAATGTGATCATAACAATTATATGCACCCAAATTTGTGAATCGTGCAGAATCCTTTTCTTGATACATAGTATTCTGATAGTGAAGTGTAGTAACCCGAAAGTGTAACTATTGTATTTAAGTTGACTAGTTTATTATAAGAGAAATTCTATTTTCACCCGGGGTAAAGTCACCCAAAATATTACTAAAACTAAATAATATTAGTTACGTAAATGATATTAGTTTATCGGGTAACTTTAACCCGGTGAAAATAGAATTTCCCTAAAAAAAAATTATTATTTTAAACAAATATACATAATTCGATTAATATATTAGTTGAAAATAAATAAATACTTTTAATCTCATTTGAAATTAAATTTGTGCTAATTAGTGCTTGGATCCAGTTTATAGAATTCAGATATATCCAGATATAAAGAGGATAACAGATATTTATTTGAAAAATAGGATTACAAATCCGGATTTTATCCGGATTTAATAATAATAAATTATCTGCATGTATGATATAATCGATTTATGAAGCCTGTTTATTAAATTGATCCATTTATGTAAGTTACTTCTGTACTTGGGTAGGAACCACGCAGTAGTTTAGTATCCTGTGGGAATAAAAGGCTTTCTTGTAATGAAAGAACAACGCGCGATGCAAATTAATTTCCTTTTCTAGTTAGCATAGTAATCTAATTTTATAAATTTTTTCCCGAGTCTCAATGATTATTATGATTATTAAATATCGCATTGCAGGCTGTCATTGTTATCATGGAATTTAATGATTGCATAATTGTTATCATGCAGTATTCTGTAAGCGTTTGTAGTATTTTCGGTTGGCAAATTTACCAAAAGCCTACTTTTAAAAATACTTTGCCACATATTTCTATCAGTCCAAATTAATGAGAGTT